GCCTTATTTCATGCAGCTGGACTAATACTATTGCACAAATTGCTACCTTTCGAAGGCTGTGATGTGAACCTGCCTGAACAACTGCCACTTTAGCACCACCATAAAAAATACCTTTCATATAACAACTCTCTGCCTTTCAGGGGGAATAATGAAGCACGGCAAAATAAAAAGGAACGACTATATGTTTTCCCAGCGGAGTCACGCTTTGGGGATGCTTTCTCCCCTCCCAACCCGTGGAGTTTCAGAGCCACTGAGCCAGGCTGGATGCTACCCAGCCCAAGCATGCCCAGTGCTCACCTAGGGCTCAGCAGACACCCCGACACCGAAGCCCATCTCGCTGCTGTGTGGGGTTTTCGAAACATCCCCCCAACTTCCCAATTGCACTGGGGGTCCCCTTCTGGCCCCCACCTGCCCCGCCCTGCCCAGCTCCTCAGGCTTTCATGGAGCTTCCTCCTCTTCTCCCTCCTCGTCTTCTCACGGAAGACAGGGGGCACTGAAGGACACAGCTTTTATTAAAATAGGGAAGATGGGGCACACTCCCCGCATCAGATCCTGTGAAGGGACACGTGCGTGTTCGGTGGTCCCCTGGTGTGCAGAGGCTGCGTGCCTACACTGGGGTATGGCCATATCCTCACTTTATTCATCTACTAGGCTAAGTGGTCGCCTCAGTGCTCTTCAGATGTCCAGATGAAGTGTTGACGTAGCTGTGACGTTTTGGGTTTATATTGTTATTGACCAGGCAGATAACTGATTTTAACTTGGTAAAAGATACATCCCATATTTGGGTTCCCATCATTCATGCCAGGGCTACTCTTCAAAAATATTTTTCAAAATTTCAGCCCCCAAAATCTCATGGAGTAGATGTTTAATTAAGTTTTTCTCACTAACAGCCAGCTATCTTCAGCATCGATGTTCATTCTGTCTTGAGCCTGGTCTGAGCTCTTTTCAGTGGTGCTCAGTGACAGGACAAGGGGCAATGGGCACAAACTGAGGCACAGGAAGTTCCGTCTGAACATGAGGAAGAATTTCTTCCCTTTGAGGGTGACGGAGCACTGGAACAGGCTGCCCAGGGAGGTTGTGGAGTCTCCTTCTCTGGAGACCTTCAAGACCCACCTGGACAGGGTCTTGTGCAGCCTGCTGTAGGTGACCCTGCTTCGGCAGGAGGTTTTGGACTAGATGACCCACAGAGGTCCCTTCCAACCCCTACCATTCTGTGATTCTGTGATGGAGATGGTCATCACACCAGTTTAACTTCAGTCATCCCTTGCCAGCACCACTTTTTTTTCAGCTACTGAGTTCCTTCTGGTTTTACATTCAACTGCTTCCTAGTAAAATTAAGCCAATTCCTAATAAGACAAAGCTAAAACCTATGTAGACCATTTTGTGCACGTGACAGCTCTGATTTAGCTAGCACGAAGTTCTCATCACACAGACAGGACCCAGGAGAAGGGAAAGCGTTTTGAACAGAGATGCAGAATTTGATTCTCATCCAGAGACATGGCTGTCCTTGCTACTGTTGCCTAGGGGGAGAGCAGAAGGGGGGAACCTGGACCCGTGTCTTTTATGCTGGATCTACTCTGAGAATAAATAGAACAACTTCAGTCTCCAGGACTTTCTATATTATACCAGGAGTACAAAACTCACATTAAAGAAATTGTTAAGAGCGGCCCTGAAATAACAGATTCTCAAACTTCCCTCTTCTTCTAGTTCAGAATTCACACTGAAGAAAATACCAAACATTTCTTACAGATCTGCTGTTTCACCACTTGGATTATAATATATTGCAAGTTGATAGCATGACACTTCATGAAGCAGCCAGGATGTTAGCAGTCCTAACACAGGTACCATTCATCACTTAATATATCTTGAATATGACTGAAGTCCAGGAAGAAATCTTTTAGAAAAAGAAACGAGGGTACTTTACCTCGTATTTTGCCAAGAAGGCTAGGGGGAGCTGCAGGTTGTTGCTACGAAAAGCGCTTTGAGGCTTTGCCCTTCTCGTTACACCGCAGTTTCTTGAACCTTCAGCCCCGGCTGATCCCTGTGCCGTGTGATCAGATCCGGGAGAGGCAGGGCTCCAACAAACAGAGTCCTGGGTGCCAGAGATCTCAGATTTTCTACCACAGTTTCACCTGGGCGCACACGAAAGTGTCAGAACCGTAAACTGGCTTTCTCCTCTTTATGGCAGAAGCAGCGTCGCCTTCCTGGGTCCCCTATTGCCTTCTGCCACGCTCCAGCCACAGCAAGCCGCTGCTCGACAGCAAAGCTGCGCGCTCGTAAACACAAAGTAAGGACGATCGTTCCAGCTGATCTCGTAGAATCAGCGATGTGGGGCACTGGCTGCTCACCCCACGTCAGGGTTTAAGCTACATCAGGCATAAAATTAGTGGTTTTAGAAAAGGCGAAGACTTAATTCTTTATTCAGAGATAATGAGATGATAATTTGAAGACAAATGCTTCTTGATGACTGTTAGTCAGGTAATGAGAAAGGTCTAGCTTGACTCTAAGATTTAGTATAGAAACCCCACAGTAACCTGGAATTTCATTTTACTAGTGTAACCTATGGAAACATTTGATTTCTTCATATCCTTCAAAAATTTAGTCTGGCATTTTAGAGTTTGAGAAGATTAAGCCATTGTTTGGCTGGTGAATATCTGACTGAGAGACATGAGATGGTGTCAAGAGAATTAATTTTGCAAACTGGACAGGACTCATAGCTGATTACAGTGAGAACCCAGCAGCCAAGCGAGTTTGGCACCTGCATCCTCCTGTGGAGCAGTTGAAGCGTCTCTGTTTTCACAGGCAACCGGCGCTCATGAAGGCACTTAACAACGAAACGTTAGCATCCAGCAGATTTTCATTGCTCTCTTCAGTGCCGCTATTGCACTCCTACCATTTTAATGAAAAAAAAAAAAATTGAAATCTGAGCATTTTACCCAGCCCAAGAAGTTCAGGCAGGGTGCCAAGCGCCCCGGGGAACCCAGCCGCAGCCACGCGTGGGCCGACGCGCCTGCCGAACAGCTGCGGCAGCAGAAGGGTCGCAGGGCCACCGCAGCGGGGACTGCCCTGCAACACCCGCGAAGCGCAACTTGCAGAAGACGACGATGCCACCTAACGCGGCTTAAAAATAAACAAAACACGCCAATAAACAACCTTTTGGGTTCCGAGCCCTCGCTCAGCCCCAGAACGCAAGCGACGCGCTCAGAGATCGCTCCCCAGCCCTTCCCATCGCATTTCTGCGCCAGCAGCCCGCTCACCCGCCACCTTCACGAGGGACCGCACCACAAAGAGTAACGGGGACAGGCGCGGTGCCGCCGAGGCCTCGGCGGGGATTTCAGCCCGCACACCGCATCC